ACAGGTATTGAAGACAATTCCTTTTCTAATGGCTGGTCTGTTTACAAAAGTGACAGGCATCCGATGTCTTGACATTCTTTTGCCTTTTAGGCTTGCTAACCTTTTTCTTTGCCCTTCTCTTTTTATTACCCGAATTACCACCTTCAACAAGCATGGCTATCGGTTTGTCCTTCTTAATTAGTTTTCAGCCCTCTACAACATATTGCTGAGTTCCTAAAAACTAACATTTAGCTTATTCATGTTATAGTTCATGATAAACTGATTGAAAGAGGGAGGCAAGGAATTTAGGATGGCATCAACTTTGGTGACATGATCAAGCCCTGACCCAAGAGCCTCCAGTTCATTGATGTTGCCCATCATCTTTAGACAATGGTCATGAACCATTTGGCTCTCAGTCATTTTCGCGGTCATAAACTGTTTTAAGACCTTTTGTCGAGTAAAACGATTTTGTTCTTCGTACATCATCCTCAGACTATCCAGGATATCCTTAGTCACTTCGATCTGATCGAAATGTCTCTGTATCGGATTGTCGAGGGAGGCTATGATGTAGCACCGAGCAAGAGAGTTATTCTTTTCCCATTCTTGATATTCCTTCCTACAAGCCTCAGAAGCCTATCACCCGGATGATCCGGATGAGGGTTTTTAGCAACCTTGTCCAATTTCTCAGATGTTAAAACCAACATAAGGTTACAGAACCAGTTAGCATAGTTTGGGCCCTTAAGCTTATTATCATCCAACAATTTGGCGAGTTATCCGTTTGCCATTTTTTATAAAGGGCAAAGCAAATTATTAGTCCACAACCAAATTTAATTCATGTTATCTACATAGAAATGACTTTTAATCTATGTTCCATTTCCATTTATTCATCTCTAAGATTTTCCTCCCATCTCAGTGACGGAGACTGTGGTTATGTCTCTGGAAATGTGGGAAATCACATATAGTGCATGGAGCCAACTGTTTCAGCTGCATAACCCCACCACCTTCTGTGAAGGATCATATCTAATCATCTTATGAGCTTTCCCTTTGCCCTCTATCAGACAAGGTTCATTGCCATTTTAGGATAAACCTTTCTGTCCAGTAAGTGCTTACCCATCATATTCATGAATGCCAAGGTATCGTGAGAGAGTCTTCCATTTTAGGATAGGCCCCTCCCACATCAGTTTATGACGCCCCTATCATCTTATGAAACAATCCAACAGACTCAGCAGCAAATGGATAACCCAATTTTATGGTGCATCTCCTCTTTACTGATAAGCCCATCTTCATGCTAATGATGGAAGGCCTTTACAGAGTTCATCATATGAATCTCCCTATCACATGCACTTATATTTTGCAGGAGGGAACGGGTAATTATGCCATTGTTCTTATTTAGGTCAAACCAAAGTGGCTCTCACTAGCTTTCTCAAAGTCAGATTTAGATGGGCCCAAAACGGGCTAGGATTCCGCACGGTTCCTCTCGGAGATAAAGTTGATGTGGGGCCCATCAAGAAGGGAGATCATCTAATGATCTTAAGGACGCCATTGCAATGATGTGCATTCAGCCATGGTGTGCGAAAGAGCCACTACCGAATTAACATGTGCATTCAGTCATACATCATATAAATGAAACAAACACATAATTGATCCAATCAATTAAATCATCTGTAAAACCCTAAACTAATTAAGTTAAATCAATATCAGCCCATTAAAGCCCATAATATTATCATATAACATTATCTAGGTATATGGGCTGAACAACAAAAGGCAGTTCGACCCATATAGCTTTTATGCTAAATTAGGGCTAATGTAGTTTTAACTTAACAAAACTGGGTTTTACAGGGAGGGCTGAATAGCATCTTGTAATGGGCCATCAAACCCCTAGCCCAAATCAGAATTTGGGGCTGAGAACAGACCCCTATTGAACCACAAGTTCGGTCCAACCAATTTGGACTAATCTTGGATCAAACCGGCCTAGGGTTTGGTGTCCATTGCAAGATATAATTCAAGATTGTGATATGAAATTAATTACAACCAATTAAAGGCAATCAAGAATCAGCAAGAATACATAACAGAGGGTTGTATGTGTGATTTTACACCTACAAAACAAAGGGTTAATCATAGATAGTGAAATCGTTATCTGCAAATCGCAAATTGTAGTTTCTCAAACTACAAAAGGTCTTATCTTCCTCCACGCGTTCCAACAAGTCTTTAGACGTAAAAAAAATAGAAAAACCTAATTTTCTATTAATTACATCACATCAAATCCTATACATTTTGTCTAAAATAAAAAAAAAATTATTTACAGACCAAAATGAATAGAATGAAAAATTGCAGGGTGCACAAATCTTGCAACCTTTAAAGAATTCGATCTCCATCACACGACAACCCAAGAATCCAAGAAACAATTATAGAACCATTCCATAATCATTAAAGAATAAAAAAGAATTAATTTCAGATCCACACACCCATTACTAAGAACCGATTTCTCAGAAAAACAATAAACATGCGCAGATTTGGTAGAACAGTTTCTGCCCATTTGTGTAGATTCAGATTTGGTCCAGATTTGGTTCAAGACTTGAACCTGCTCTAATACCACTAAAGGGATGGGAAATCCATCATATGGATGGCCGAACCATGTATGGTGGCTGGGCAGATTTTCAAAAATTTATTTCTCCCATCTGGGAATCCCATTCCTTGATTTAGAAAAACTGCATTTTTCAAGGTTCGTTTTTGAAACAAACCGGACCAAATCTGAAACCAAGATTAGGGAAAGGAATACATGATATGGAATCCACGAATAAAACTCCTCCCAACGTAGATGTTCATGCCCAAAGAGGGTACCAAATCCTTGCTCCACTGAAGATGACATAGCTTAGGGTGAGGCAGGATCAGCAAGTGGATTCTTCAGCAAGAACCCCAATTCTTCAGTAAGAATTGTGTAGGGATGTGAGCACAGCTTCAAGATTGTTTCTTCCACCAAGAAACAATATCAAGATCCAATCTTGATCACTCCAAGAGGTGGAGATCGAACAGGGTAGGGCGGCAAGGACAGGGAGAGAGAGAGAACTGGACGTAGAAAAGTTAGTCAAATTGTGTGTCTTATTCCATTTTTCCCTCCTCCTTTATATAGACCTTAAAGAGTTAATCTCCTAATCTGATTAAGAGTTTCTTGATCCAAATCTTTATTTGGGTCTAGACTCTTTAAGTGATAAGGCTTATCCCTTATCTTATCTACTGATCAGGATTAGCTTCTCTTAATCCAAATTTTTATTTGGATCTGAACTCTTTAAGTGGACAAGAGTTATCCTCTCATCCTTATCTGCTAATCCATACCCAGATTCACCCCCTATTTAATTAATCCAATTAACTCAGTTCAAAATGGGATTTAGGCCCATTAAGCTTTCAGGCTCACTTCCTTTAATGCTTGCTAGCTTGGCTTTCTTTATATGGCGTGGGACCTTATCATTGATCTCCACATATGCCACATGGGTTCAACATATCCTCTGTTACAAGGCCTAGCCGAATTCACTACTGAATACAGTGAACCCCTGAGTCCAGCAGTATGGGCTCTTAATGGACCCAACATTTACACTAAATGGTCATTGGGTTCAGTCATCTTATGAAGGCCCAAGGACTGTGGGCAGATGTGAGATTAGCCCATCAAGTTTATTATCTTTGAGTGGTTTTACACTTAACCTCTTAGCCCTTAATGATCATACACTGCCTGACAAGAGAGGACATCTCCCTCGATTGCAAGGTACAGTGTTGCACTCTTTAATCACAAGGATCCCTGGAATTTATCTTTTTGCCAACATTTTGTGAAACCATAATGTATATGTATATCTTTATATAAATATATTTTGCAAAAACAAATCTCAACAATTTGAAATCAACTGCCGGTAGTTTAGGTTTCCATCGTAGAGAGTGCATTCCCTTATTATTCATTTTGTCTAACAAAGGGGTTGATCATGTCATTATGATCACCCACTGATTGGCATATTAAAGACAGCCCAATCCGACACTTAGTGCAGTACCATAATCGAGTCTAGGGGTCAGGTGTAATATTCTAGTTTTGCCCATTTGTCTCCAAGGTCTAGGGCAATACTAGAATTTAGTCTGGTTCAGGGTTTCAAGAAAATCCACACTGCATGTACCTCAGGTCTCACCCTAGTAGTTGAGACAAGCCACTCCAATCCACTTGGCAGTACATCAATGTCAGCCTTGGCAGGATAAATCTCCCCAGATCTATCCAACGGCTGTGAAAATTCTAAAATAACACGAGTCTCGTAAATGTCCAGTTTAAGAGTATTACACAGAAACACACAAATATAACATGAATCAAATATGTACTTTATTCATTATAATAAATATCATAATGTACAACAAGCTGATTGGAACTAAGGGCATACGCTGAACCTTTCCCTACTTTTCCTTCAAACCAAACACAGCCTAAAGGAGTGGTACTTTAATTTGTTATCATGCAAAATCATTTAGGCCTTAATTTTCTAATTCATTTCTTTTTTAAAGCAGTGTACATAATTCGCTTGGCTTCGCATGCTTAGCAATATATAATTCCTTAAACAGTGTGTGTAGATGCATTCTTATTTTAAATTGAAGTCCCAATCTGTGATTTTTGTAATTAAAGTGAATATAATGAATAGAAATCAGGTATAAATTGGTAGGGAAGACAAATAATACTTGATGATCTTAGCCATAAGGTGGAGAACAGAAATCTTTTTATTTTTTCTTTCCATTCTTTTTTTCACTCTTTCGTTTATTTAATTTCTCCCATCCATGACCCAACTAATAGCTAGATAAATAGAGACTGAAGATTTGATGGGACTTTGCAATTTGGCATTTTAAAACCAATGGACAGATGTCTCATTCCTTGCCGAACACCTTGAATTAATAACTTAATTCATGACATTGACCTAATGAAGTATTTGTAATCATACATACACATATAAAGGTAATAAAAGGGTCATTAGATATAAGAGCAATCTGATCATGTAGGCATGTACATAGTGTCATGATAAAGACTCCAAAGCCCAAAGTAAAGAATTAAAGGCCTATAGATAATAGTTTTCCTTTAATTCCTCCTCCTGTTTTTTTCCTGTCTTCCTCCATGAAATGTTTCAGCCTGTTAGGGCGCCTCATCAAGATCATCACAAGAGCCCCATCATGGACACCACCCTCTATACCGCAAAGCTTCCATACTTGATTTACTCCATCCAACCAGGCAATGGCCAATCAGGCATGAGAAGCAGCAGCAACCAGCAACTTCCGGTCATCAGCCAGACATCCACCTGCAGTCTCTCGTCAGAATCCGGCGACCCATGTGGTTCTGCGAAATGGGCAGCAAGCCTTCTCCGAGAATGCGCAAAGGCCATAAGTGAAAAGGATTCCACCAAGATTCATCACCTTCTATGGATGCTAAACGAGCTGGCATCTGCCTATGGAGATTGTGAGCAGAAACTGGCATCTCTTTTCCTGCAAGCGCTCTTCTGTAAGGCAACAGAAACCGGTGAGCGTTGCTACAAGATTCTGACATCGGTCACAGAGAAGAGTCGCTCATTTGAGTCTGTGAGGAAGATGATGCTGAAGTTCCAGGAGGTGAGCCCCTGGACAAGCTTTGGTCACGTAGCTTCGAATGGGGCTATCTTGGAAGCCTTTGATGGGGGGAGCAAACTGCACATAATTGATATCAGCAACACGTTCTGCACCCAGTGGCCTACTCTGTTAGAGGCCTTGGCTACAAGGAGCGACGAAACGCCACGGCTGAAGCTGACAGTGGTGACAACAGTGAGTATGGAGAAGTCAGTAATGAAAGAAATACGGCAGAGGATGGAGAAGTTTGCTAGGTTGATGGGGGTGCCTTTTGAGTTTCAGGTTGTGAGTGAGCTCTCACGCCTGGCAGAGCTCACCAAGGAAGAGCTCGGCGTGCAAGAAGATGAAGCTGTTGCAGTGAACTGTATTGGAGCCTTACGAAGGATCAATGTCAAGGACCGAGATGCTGTGGTCCGCATGATTCATTCATTAGGACCCAGAGTGGTGACAGTGGTTGAGGAGGAGGCCGACTTTACTAGCTCCTCAATGGATGATCAGTTTGTCAAGTGCTTTGACGAATGCCTGAGGTTTTATTCTCTGTTTTATGAGATGCTAGAGGAGAGCTTTTCCACAACTAGCAATGAGAGATTGATGTTGGAGAGGGAGTGCTCAAGGAGCATTCTGAGTGTGTTGGGTTGTGATGGTGAGGTTGAGGTTGATGTTGGTGATGAAGAATCTGAGATAAGAGAGAGGGGCCGCCAATGGTCTCAAAGACTCAGAAAGGAGGCCTTCTCACTGGTTGGATTCAGTGACGATGTGGTGGACGATGTAAAAGCACTCCTGAAAAGGTATAGAGCAGGTTGGTCACTTGTGCTCGCCCAAGGGGATGATGATTCTGCTGGTCTCTACTTGACATGGAAGGAGGAGCCTGTTGTCTGGGTTTCAGCTTGGAAACCCTAGCTAGCTAGTACCCATTAATATAATTATGCAGTAGGTGATCTTCAGATTGGTGAGAGTGAATATGGATTGTATTTTAATTTAAATTCATCAAGACAAGGAGTCGATCTATATGTGCACAATTGATCTCTTTTCCTTATTCAAATTCCTATATATATATATATATATATGCTGCTGGAACTGTGTTGGTTCTCTTTTTCCTCTTATCTTCTTTGAAGGTTGTTGCACTTGTTTCCCTCTTCAATCATATACTGTTACATCCAAATTGATTTGTTGCATAGTTTATGGATCATTTAATTTACATCCTCCAATGGTTTCTGTTTTTAATTATTAATTAGTTCATCAATGTCAGTGACATTTGTTTTTCTACATTGAGACCTTAATAGTGGTTAATCCATGTTCTATCTCCAAGGAAATTAATTAAGATCTATTTCATATTAACCAAAGTGAAATTAATTGGTTTGTGTCAAATATAATATTGCATGTATGTATGTATGAAACTGTCATCCCATAAGTTTAATTAAATCGTATAGTTTTTTATCCTAATTTTAACTTATTATACAATTTATTTATGTTTTATTAGATACATAATAGTGTTATTTTGATTTAGTTTAGATTTGAATTTTGAACTAATATATACAAGTAGTAACAAGTTTCTACAAGATATTACCACATATTTCTGGAAGAAATTGGAATATATAGGATATCACAATAAAGTATAAGAGAGGAGCTTCTCAAGGAAACTCAAGGTGGCCAAGTGTTACCAAACAACAATGGCACAGTCAACCACCCATTGTGTTTGTTCTACCATATATAGGTTATAATCTATCTAATTTGAACTCAATGTGATACTCATAATGAAAATCTGTTTAGCTAACTTCAAGCACAATTTCGGCAGTTAAATTGGTTAATGAATCAGTTTTATGTTGTAAGAGCTATTGTAAAAGAATATGGATAAATGCACTTATTCGAGTAAGTCTTTCCTAGGAAACACTTACTCGGGTAAGTGCATTTACCTGATAAGTAACTTATCGAAAAGCGAATGGGCCTAAATGTTAGTTGTTTAAGAGAAGGATGGCAATTTGATTAATTTCTTGACTATAGGAAAAGAATTCATTTATCCTATACTTTCTCATTCTTGTTCAAAAGAATATAAGCAAAAAAACAGAAGCACATTCTATTTCGAATACTTAAGCAGCATCTTTTAGGCTATGTTTAGTGATTAAGTGGTTGCTAAAAGAAGTACTTGTTGCACAAGTACTTTTTAGAAGTGCTTATTTTAACAACCACTTAAGGCTGTTTGGTGGCCCATTTGCCAAATCACTTATTATGTTTTTTAAGCACTTATTGGGGTGGAGATGTTTGCTGAGCTACTTTCCACATAAGTGCTTATATTGACACAAATGATAATTAGCCCCCATTTCACTCATACATATAAACAATGTTTTTCACATATTATACTATACATTTCAGTGAAAAATCGCCACATTATGACACTTGAGAGTCCATGTGGGCCCACACGTAGAGTGCCATGTGGACCCAATTAATAATAATAACAATAATAATAAAATAAATAAATAAATAATAAATAATATTGATAAATAACGCAAAAAAGTTCTACTCATGGAGGGGAGGAGTTTGGGCAATGTCAAAAAAAAAAAAGACAAGCAAATATTTCGGATTTCTCACTTGAAACATCTGAAAAAACAAATCCAAACAAATATTCACAAAAAAAACAAGAAAATAACATCAAACATGGAGGGGAGGATTTTGGGCGAACTCACCTTCGTTCGCCAACGTCTGGATAGTCAAGTGTCACCGATAAGCTTGCCCAATCACAGATCTGCGAACAGAGAGAAGAGTGCCTTTTCTAACATTAAAAAACTTAAGAAAAATGCTTCAAATCAAATAAAATAAGCAAGAAAGTAGTCACAAAGGGTAAAACAACAGGTCTGCCGGTTGTATTTTTGCACCGTCTATCGTCACCAGTTGACTTGCAATTGGAGTCGTTGCTCTCTAACTGTTGTGTTCGAATAGAAGGAGAGGGAAGAAAACCCTCATATGGGGGCAAAACTGGCATTAAATAAATTATTTAGGGACTGAATCGTCTCATTTGTTTTAAAAAAGTACTTCTCCAATAAGTGTTAAAAAAAGCCACTCTCAAGTCACTTTTTCTATAAGTACTTTTCAAAAAAAGTACTTCTTGATGACTTTTACCAAACACATAAATACTTTTTTATCACAATGTGTGGTCCCAACATTTAAAAGAAGTACTTGTTAAAAGAAATAATTTTTAAAAGTTAAATCAAACAGGGCATTACTTCCATCTTGCTACTATTTGTTCCCTAATTAAGGTTGAATTTGGATGATCATCACGATTTGAGCTTTTGAAGCCCCTAAAGGCACACGGTCTCATCAATTTTGGTATTCATTAGGGAGGGCATCTTTTGGCATTGAGATGTGGGTCCTACCTTGACAACCTTTAAGCAATATTTTGTGAAAAACTTGAAAAGCCCAAAATTGCTATTTCACAGCGAAGAAAAATGACATTTTGCTAAACCTATTTAATTAGTAGCTTCTTCAATGCAGCTCATTGAAATCAACCTAAACAAAGACTCAGCTCCCCAAATTAGGGGCTTTGTGTCTTGGATTTAAACTGTTACATTTTTAAAAGAAACCCTTACAAAACACTTTTTTGGCTCAATTCTGTTTCCTACATTCCAAAGTTCAAGAGCAAAAGTATATCCAAACTCATTCATTCTAGAGTTTTATATTTTTATTGTCTTTAAATTTGAATATCTAGCCAAACCCCGGTTAACATTTTTCTTTTCCTCACACTCACAAGGACCCTATAGTGTTTATCACTCATTATTTTCTTGAAGAAGGAAAAGTTTAAACAACTCTTATATAAGCAAAATTTATGGTGCATTATGTTGAAATTACCGCAATATAAATAAAATGTAAACAACGTGACATCTTCAACGTTGTTAAAGTTTTTTTTTATAGAAACCAAGAGGGGCTACACAAGATGGGGGGTGGTGCGTCCCCAAAAATCAGATTTACAAATACAAGCTAGATTTCAAGGAAGATCACTAAGATGTAAATGTTGTTAAAGTTTAATTTTAATGATAAGTATTCCTTGTAAAATGTGAAAATACACCATGTGTAACATGAATCAATAATAAATAAATAAACTATGTGACATTTTTAATGTGATTAGTTAAAATTTTGATTTAACATGCAACAAATATTAGAAATTCACCATAGTTGGACTGCTTTTTCAAATTGTTTTCTTAATTTATAAGCCAACAAGTGGTTGAACACATTACTCCGGTGGTTAACTCAAGGAGAATTTACTTATTGGATCTTCACTCAATATAGAAGTGGTGTTTCCTAGAATCTGAAGACAGATATATAATACAACAAATTGAGTTGGGATGCTGTAACCAGAAGAAAACAACAAAATGTTGAGCTGTAATTTATTCAATAGATAGAAAGAAAAGAAGTGGGTCAAGGAGTTACCTTGGTGGCAAACATAAACTACCTACTAAATCCCACTGTTGCCTCTTTGTCTACTGATATGAGCAGCATATCACCATTAAATACCACACACAAGCTTCTCTTAGGCCCACACCATACAGTCGGAACAACTTTTCTATGCATCTTGATAAGATAGATACTTCTTGTCCTGGAAAGTTCAATACGTCTAGCTCTGTCCTTCCTCACAAAATCAGCTCATCTCATTACCTAGTAGAGGCCTAGCTGATAAGTTCAATACGTCTAGCTCTGTCCTTCTGATGAGTTCAGTTAGAGAACTTACAAATAGTCTCCAAGGATCATCCTATTGTACTGTCTTCTGATACTATCGATATTCATGGACCATTCCTCTGATGGGTCACATCTGAGATGAAATGTAGTCGACAATCTATGGCTACCATATATTCCTTATGGTGCTATTCTGTTACCCACTTCTGAGAGGTTGATAAAGCAGTAATAATTGATCAAACAGTTTGGATCATCTTACTGGCCTAAGTGCTTACAAGCCATATGGGATACAAATGATCCCTTGATTGAATGTTCTAAATCAACAAACATGTGCAATGTCTTGTACGACAGGGAGCCCCAGATGGAGCACAAACACAACCCCCCCGTAACAATTTTCTTCAGATACTTCAAACATCAGTTATCTTGCCCCTCTTGCAGTGAGTACTGTTTGTTATCCATACAAACAGAAAACAACAAAACCAAAACTTGTGTTGTCCTAATTAATTGTCAACTAGGGATATTACTTAATAGATTCTTTTGTTTCATGATTCAGAAATCACTATTATTGAAACATTCAGAAATCACCATTTACATCTCTTCTTAATTAACTGCAGCATAGTACTGAAGTGAGTATGGTGAAATGGGAAACCAAAAAGGAAGAAAAAAAAGCAGATTTCATATATTTTTTCTCATGTATAAACGGTTGACTCGAAGTACTATGTTGACTGAGAGGAATCTACAATTTATTTACAAACACCCAAAGATGAAATTATATATTAAGGCTCCGTTTGGGAAGAGCGCAAATACAAATACGTGGAGTGCATTCTGGTCCATACAAATGCAAAGTTGGTTTAGTTTTGGATTGATAAGTTTACTTTCTTTCCAAACTATTTTTAGTTGTAATGGATGCAGACATGAATCCCAAGATTGAAACTGAAAACTAAAAATCAAACTGAAAAATCCAGTTAATAGTTAACTGAACTGGCTAGTTATATAAATATATATATATATATATATATATATATATATATATTTATTTATTTATAATAGATATTATTAATATAAAAAAATTGAAGGGATCAGTTTAGTTCCAAAAATATGCCCACAATTCAATTAACCAAACCATGAGCACCCCTAAGGTAAGTCTGAACCCAACAGAAACCCAGCCTAAAAATAGTCAGATTGGATTGAAGTTTGGGTTAGGGTTAAAAAGTATGAACCTAACTTCATATTTGTATGTATAAATACTATATAAACATGTATTATGCATGTAAATACTTTTGTGTGTATGCCTCTATGTATTATTTTCACTGTAAGTATTTATGTATTTATGTATGTATGTATATTATATGTCCAAAATAAAATTTTTCTAAACCATGATTAAGGATAAGGAAGTGAGAGTG